TCCTCCCTCTTGGGTCCTTGCCCTCTGATTGTATAAAATTGTAGGATTTTGGTGAAATTAAAACACATTATTACAGGGCACTTCCAAGAGGTTCCATTCTATCTCATAACAAAAGCTCAGAGCTGGAAATGATCTTAGCATCATCCAAGCCTCTCAAAACTAGCATCACCTGACTAGTATCAGATCTGAGTTGCTTCATCCTGGTGATCTCTTCCCTGCCAGAAAAACACTCACATGCCACTTTGTCAAAGATAATTCTGCAATGCCCCACAAGGATGGCTCCTCGATGTGGTAGTTATGTAATCAGGTGTCAATTTGAGAGGATTACAAGTGAAGGGGCGGAGTCTAGTCTGTCAATCGGATCATATCCAATGAGGCCTCTGTGTGGGCATAGCCTCCTCCTGAGAATTCTGGGAAATCGGTTTTCCTCCTTGGAAGCAGTAGACACTTCTCTCTCTCTGCTCACTCCCTTGGAGACTCTCTACTGACAAGACACACAGCACTATGCTAGTAGACCCCATGCCCTGGGAACCAGAGAAGTCACATGGAGACCCCAGCCAGTGCTGAGATGGTTACAATGTCACTGGACCACAAGAGTTCATACCCACTGGCCTGGGATCTTCCTGCATTCAGCGCCATTGCATGTGTTTCATGAGTCTGAAGAGGACTTTATAGATTGTTATCGGACATTTGAGCTAACATCAGACATATAGGCTTGGGCTGGGTTGGGTTGGGATGCTTTGTTAATGTACAATTGCCCTTTATATAAAACGCTCACGCATACACATGAGTTTCTATGGGTTTGTTTCTCTAGTCCACCCAGACTAACACACTTGGTCTCCTCTGGGGTCCGTCGCTCCCAATCGTAGGAGCTGACAGTAGACTACTGACAGTGGATTCATTCAGCCAACTCTGGACATTTACATCCACTAGTGCAGCGGTTCTCAACCTGTGGATCGTTTGGCCCCTTTGGAGGTCGAACAATCCTCTTCCTGGGGTCACCCGATTTCGTAACAGTAGCAGACTTACAGTTATGAAGTAGCAATGAAAATAATTTTATGGTTTGGGGGTCAAACTGTATTAAAGGGTCACGGCATTAGGAAGGTTGAGAACCACTGCACTAGTGTGTGCCCCTCTTGTCTCTGCCTCTGCATCCTAGTCTGGCTTCTCAATCTCCTGTTGCTTCCTACTCATCAGCTTTCACATGTCAGGAGAAGCCTAACTTACACCGGACAGGACTTATCTATTTCTACAACTGCGTAAGCCAATTCTTGCTATAAATCATTCTATGGGCAACACAAACTGATGCCAATGATTTTGTTTCTCTAGAGAACCCAACTTAACACACCCAACCTTGCCAGCAGCCCTTAAACCAAACCAAACTCGCTGCCATCAAATAAATTCTGACTCATAGTAGCAGGACAGCACTGCCACTTCGAGTGTCCTATGCAAAGCTTTAAGAAAGCAAACAGCCTCATCTTTCTCTCAAGGAATGGCTAGTGGACTCCAACAGCTAACCTTGTGGTTAGCAGCCCGACTCATAAATCTCCTAACACTCAAAACCCACGCGCACTGCCTTCCAGTCAATACCTACTCATAGCGACCCTAGAACAAGGTAGAAGCACCTCTGAGTTTCTGAGGCTATAACTCCTTATAGGAGTAGAAAGCCTCATCTTTCTCCTGCAATATCCTACAGAACGGGGAACAACATGAGAACTGCCAGAGCTCACTGTCCGCCATCCTTTTTTATGCTACCATCTGAGGCTATTATTTAGAATACAAGAGCCTTAGAAACAGCTGTTATTATTAAAAATTTTAATACATGGATCATAACCAGAAACATAACTGCATTCATTCCATATAATCAACATGCAAATCTTTTCTAATTAACAAACAACTGGCAGATCTTCCAGGTAATTTCCAGATAATCCTGGGATTTGAGGAAAGCACTCACTGCTTGTCTATGTTCTCCAGTTCAAAATATGTCCTCTCTACATTGGAGAATTCCAACAGCAAAGGGTCCAAAAACCACTAAGAGGACTTTGATGAGTTTGAGTATCAGGAAAGCAATTTGCAGCTCAGTCTCCCATACACAGTGAATTCTTGTTTCACCAATTAGCTTAAAATGGTAGGTGGTTTTCAGAGGTTGAAATATAATACTGCTGGCTTCATTAGAGCTGAACCCCTTTTAACCGCAATGGACTCAGTAATGCCTAACAAAGACACTGAAGAGTGACTTCTTTTCCAAGGAAAGGGGGTTTTTATGAACCGAAGCCTGAAATCTCAAAAATGGAGTTATTCATTTTGCAAGTAACTCACTAACCTCATAAATTAATTAAACCAAGCAGCAAATATTTTCACAGATCAATGAGCTACTGCTAAAGGGTAGGGTACAATTAAATTACAGCCTTGGTTAAATGTCATTGCTTTATCACAGAGGCCCTTTCAGAGCTGAGTTGTGTTAACTAATTCAACTATTCAACCAGAAGTTGTTTTACTTCCAAAAACCCTAAGTATCAAACATCAATTCCACTTGGCAGCTGGCCTTTATGTTCAGCTATTACTTTTCTCCTGAGATTTACACATGCTATTTTTAAAGCTACTTTTGTGGAGGTAGAGGGAACAGGAGTTAAGAGATGGAGGCAGAAAATCATGCTAGGACATAAAAATTCGCTTCTGACGAGCAGCCCCATTCCCAGGGGAACGTTCAGTCCCTGCTGAGCAGCAGCCCGGCCTCAAGCACCTTGCTAACGATGGCTTGCCCTGTTCTTCCTCCCGCTGGCTGCTAATCAGAGATGCGACACAGGAGATTTCAAAAAGTCCATTGAAAAAATTCGAATGAAAAGATAATGAAATCTCTCCATGAACTTTATGGAGTCCCCTTGTATATTTAAAACCAAAGCGTACAGGTGCAGGAACGAGAAGACAAGACTGAATCCACAATTCAAGCAACCTGCATTGCTCACACCACAGGACTGGATGAGTACCAGAGACATCCTTAAGCATCTTGTACCTTGGAAAGGTACTATCCCACTCCAGGGAAGACTGTAAGTGCCACCTGTGTAAAAAACAAACCAACACAAAAAAACTCAACCTACCAGGCCTTTTCTTATTTTGCCACTACAGTTCCTTCTCCACAGTCCCTCTCCAATTGGGTTTGGAGACACCAAGAGGAAACCTAGCGGAAGAGAAAAACCTTCACCTGAGCTACCTACTGGAAGTTGGCTCTGTTCCTAGATAGATAGATAGATAGATAGATAGATAGATAGATAGATAGATAGATAGATAGATAGATAGATAGATTTATAGATAGATTTATATATTTATATATAATGATCAAATTCTACCATTATTACATCTGCATCTTCTCCTTTCCATCTCAATCTTTCCCTCCTCCCTCTTGGGTCCTTGCCCTCTGATTGTATAAAATTGTAGGATTTTGGTGAAATTAAAACACATTATTACAGGGCACTTCCAAGAGGTTCCATTCTATCTCATAACAAAAGCTCAGAGCTGGAAATGATCT